CAACGCGGCCGGCCGGGGACCGGAGCGGAGCCGCCCGGAGTGCCCTGGGTCCCGCCTGCCGGCGACCTCTCACCAAGAGCGGCACGGCTGCGCCCAGAAACGTCTCCTTATGAAGTCGTTGAAGTCGGAGGCCAGGGTCGTGCCATGGAGACGCCGCGGCGGATGCAGTCCGGCTCCCGCGGCGGCTCCTCCCCGCTTCCGCCTCCTTTTCCGACACCCGGTCGGCAGCTCGCCCATTGGCCAGTTCAAACCCCCCCTGGAGCCTCTCGGGGATCGCCATTTAGGCCCAGCCCCTGGCGTCACAGAGATACCCCGCCCCTCGGGACGCTCCGCCCACTTCCGGGCCGCGCACCCGTCGCCAGGGAGACGAGCGACGCCTCCCGGCGGGCAAGCCGGAGCTGGCCCCGCGGTTCAAGGATTGCGCTGGCTTGGGTCCGCTGGGGCGTCAAGGCCCCGGCGCGCTCCCCTGGATACGAGCTAGGAAACTAGGTCCAAGCGGGGTCGTGGAACTCGTTCGTGGCCTGGGCCGCGCACCGTCTCTGGAGGCCCAGGCCCGCGTCCCTGTCCCCTCCTTGCAGAAATGGACTGGCACACTGCCCCGACTCCGCCCAGGCCCGCACATCAGCTGTCTTTGCCCACACGAGGGGAAGGGGAAGGGTTGGCATTCTCGTGGCCCCTCGCGGCCTTCCTGCGCGCTGGCACCGCCTCTCACCTACTCTGTGGAGGTTCCCGTTGGGCCGCCATCTTCTCAATTATGCTTGCTTGTCCGCCAATCGTCTGGGGGTCGTCACGCGGCTCACAATGCCGCCCTGGATTCTGGGAGGCTTGAACTACCTGCGGGCGGGCCAGTGTCCGGACACGCAGAAACCTGCCCTGCAGCCCATACGTGTGCCCCGGGGGCCCAGCCTGTCCGGCCCGAACGGGAACATTCCAGGCCCCGCCTCTCCCGCAGAGAACCTGCTCTTTTTGCCTTCACGCTAGGAGAGTTCTTGCTCTGTGCTACATAGCACTGCTCCCGTTCTCCACGCTGTGCGCCCAGGGGTCCCCAGCCCCTCTTGTGACCCAACCCTGCAAAACAACAAATAAGCCGAAACCCGGACACTGCCCAGCAACTTGCTGATCATGAGTCCCCCGCCCTGACGTGGCTTTTGCAGACCTTTGACTTTCCCCACAGCCCCCTACGTCGACTATCGTTTTTCACAGAGGAAAATAAAGTCATCTAATGGAATATTCTCAGCCTTCCCCAGAGCACTCTCTCACACTCTCTCATCTTTAACTTCCTCCATTGTTAAGTCTTCCCCCTTCAGAGATGAGGTTACTTTTGACAGCTCAAGACAAACCTCCTGTTACTGGAAGATTTAAGTCAAGCATTTCAGTCAATTATCCCTTTACTATTCCCAAGGTAGAATCCTTTCTCAGTGTCCTCCAGTCTGTTTTTTGGTTGTTTTTTTTTTTTTTTTGGTCGGTCGTGGGGCTTGAACTCTGGGCCTGGGCGCTGTCCCTCAGCTCTTCAGCTCAAGGCGAGCGCTCTACCACTTGAGCTACAGCGCCACTTCCGGTTTTTTGGTGGTTTATTGGAGATAGGAGTCTCACGGTCTCTCCTGCCCGGGCTGGCTTTGAACCGCGATCCTCAGGTCTCAGCCTCCTGAGTAGCTAGGATTACAGGCGTGAGCCACCAGCGCCCGGCTCTGTCCTCCAGTCTGAAGCATACATACGTACCAGTCTGTACTACATTCCAAACCCAACCTTTCTCCCATCTCAGCTTCAAGGTTCATGACCCTTCATGCTAATGCCACCAGACAAAATAAAAGATTTTCCCAGCCGGGCACCAGTGGCTCATGCCTGTAAACCTAGCTACTCAGGAGGCTGAGATCTGAGGATCGCAGTTGGATGCCAGCAGGAGCAGAAAATTCTATGAGACTCATCTGCAGTAAAGCTGGAAATGGCACTATGGCTCAAGTGGTAGAGCACTAGTCTTGAGCACAAAGAAGTCCAGGGACAGCACCCAGGCCCTAAATTTAAGTCTGGTGAATAACAACAATGAAGATTTTCCCTACTCCTAAAGGGATTTTGCATATGTGTCCTTCCCACCATCTAATAAGTCTTGCCTTTCCCAATGCAGTGCTTTGTAACAAATCTGAGAATGGGCAAGACAGATTTTACACTCCTCCAACACACACACACACACACACGTTTGCACACATATACACAACCATGAGAGGAAGCAGTAACAGAATAAGATCCTTAGAACCCAGGATGGTTGAAGACAGAGGCTGTTGTCTATGAAGGCTATGGAATGCGCGCACGCGCACGCGCACACACACACACACACACACACACACACACACACACACACCCCAAAGTGTGGTAGCTCAAACCTGTAATCCTAGATACTTAGAAAGCAGAGATCTAGAAATCTATTCAAGGTCATCTTGCGCAGAAAAAAAAAAGAAAAAAGTTCAAAGACACCCTCTCAACCAACCAACAAAAACAGGATTGGTGGGGTGGTTTAAGGGGCACAGCACTTGCCTAGCAAATGCAAGACCCTGAGTTCAAATCTCAGTATCCTCCACCAAAATAATAAAGTATCTCTACTACAAGTCCAATAAAAACATCATGTAAAACATTAGAATTTCTGGAAAGAAGATTTATATAGTCTAGAAATTATATCTCTTCTTATCCATATGTAAATGTTTTATGACATGTTTTCCTGTGGTACTGACTAAATCTTACTGGTGCTAGAATAGTTTATTAAATGTTTGTTTTTACAGGAATGTTTTTATAGGAATAGGTCATACATGAGCCCTTGGGTCCCATTCCCAGTAATGCAAAAATAAAACAAGAATTAACTCTGGGGTTGAGAATGTGGCTTAGTGGTAGAGTGCTTGCCTAGCATGCATGAAGCCCTGAGTTCAATTCCTCATAAACAGAAAAAGCCAGAAGTGGCCCTGTGGCTCAAATGATGGAGTGCTAGACTTGAACAAAACAAACTCAGGGATGGTGTCCAGGCCCTGAGTTCAAGCCCCAGGACTGGCAAAAAAAAATGGGTCTGGGAATATGGTTCAGTGGTAGAGTGCTTGCCTTGCATGAGCAAGGCTGTGGGTTCAATTCCTCAGCACCACATACACAGAAAAAGTTGGAAATGAGTGCTGTGGCTCAAGTGGTAGAGCACTAACTTTGAGCTGAAGAGCTGAGGGACAGCGCCCAGGGCAAGTTCAAGCTCCACGAGTGACAATATATATATATATATATATATATATATATATGTATATATATATATGTATATATAATTGAACTCTGCGCTCATGTTGACCGATTGTCAAATTATAAAAATAAAACTGACACATTTATGAGCCAATGTAATTAGATAATTAGATAAGTATCAAGAGATTCAATTAATGAAAACATAAAACTTCTGTATGCAAGAATCTTTCACAGCTGTGTGCTGGTTGTTCATTCATGTCTGTAATCCTAGCTACTCTAGAGGCTCAGATCTGAGATTTAATTCAAAGCCAGTCCAAGCAGGAAAATCCATGAGATTTTGTTTGTTGTTTTTGTTGTTCTGATATGGAGGTTTTTACTCAGGGGCACTGTTCTACTCTTCCACTTGAGCCACAGCTCTATTTCTGGCTTTTTGCTGCTTAATTGAAGATAAGAGTTTCATGAATTTTCCTGCCTGGGCTGGCTTCAAACCGGAATCCTTGGATCTTAGCCTCCTGAGTAGCTAAGTTACAGACATGAGCCACTGATACCCAGCTGAATCTTGGTTCTTTGTGTGCAGTGTTGAATATTAAGAAGCTGCCTCAAGCCAGGAGCTAGTGGCTCACACCTGTAATCCTAGCTACACAGGAGGCTGAGATCTGAGGATTCAAAGCCAGCCCCGGCAGTAAAGTCCGTGAGACTCTTGTCTCCAATAAACCACTAGTAAACTGGAAATGGCGCTGTGGGTCAAGTGGTAGAGTGCTCGCCTTGAACTGAAGAGCACAGGGACAGCGCCCAAGCCCAGAGTTCAAGCCCCAGGACCGACAAAAAAAAGAAAAGAAAAAAAAAAAAGATGCTGTCCCAAATTCAACAAAGACCTACAGAGAGTAGAAAGATAGCAAGGAATTATGTGTAGGCAAAGTGAAATTCACCTCAAGGTGTGAGGTGGGCAGTTTGGATAAGGGGTTGTCAGGGCCTGAGGTTTGATCATCCAATAAAATGAGGTTACAACATCATATAGGCCTGAGACTCTCCCCTTGTGGCTCCTCCTCAGAGGTTTGCACAGTTGCTTTTGGATGTGGGTGCTGAATAGGCACCTGTGCGTTTGGTCCTCTCTGCTCTTTTTCTTTTAGCATGGCCAGTAGAAGAACATAAAGTGTCCATTATACCCTCAGAGCACATGCTCAGCTTTGACATGGGGTGTATGTTGGACAAAGAGGTTATTAGGTTATTGTCTTCAATCACTGGTCCAGAGCACAGGATATTCTGGGGTCTTCTAATTGCACCACTGACAAGGTGAATGAAATCTTGTAGTCTGGACCTTGCTTATATCTGGCTAGCATATCAGTGCAGGTGACACAGGGTAGATGGAATGGCACAGGTGACCTCATGGACTTTAATTGGAAGCATATCAGTCTGAGGCCTAATCAAAATGTCTAATATTTGTGAGAGGATGAGAATCCTAGCTGCTTGATAGGATTCAAAGGAATATTATATAGCCCACACTTCAGCTACAAGTTTACTAGTGGGTTATTGGAGATAAGAGTCTCACAGACTTTACTGCCGGCTGAAGATGTAGCTCAATTGTAGAGCTCTCAGCTGCCATGCATTAAATCCTGGACTCAATCCCTACTAGTCCTATAGAGAAAGGGAAAGAAAAGGCAAGAGACAAAAGCATAAGCAAACAATGAAGTCATCTCTCTAAGAAAATTATCTATATATATTAACACACATGAAAGCAAGTCTGAAGGAATATTACAACAACTATTAAGCTGGGCACCAGTGGTTCACGCCTGTAATCCTAGCTACTCAGGAGTCTGAGATCTGGGGATCATGTTTCAAAGCCAGTCTGGGCAAGGAAAGTCCATGAGACTGTTTTTTGTTTTTGTTTTTTTGTTTTATTTGTCAGTTGTGGGCCTTGAACTCTGGGCTTGGGTGCTGTCCCTGCACTTTTGAGCTCAAGGCGAGTGCTCTACCACTTGATCCACCATGCCACTTTTGGCTTTTTCTACTTTTGTGGTGCTGAGGAATTGAAC